CAACCCTGTTGACCTAAATCAGCAAGCACATTTATTAAGGCAGCCAAGAAGTTACTGCTATTGGTCAGAAGTTCAGGGTTTCCCTGAGAAGCTATTGTCTCTGAGACGTGAAAGTTCCCCTCATGATACCCTGACAAAGGGAACAGGTAATGTTACAAATCCTAAAGTTTTCAATGGGGCTTTGCTTCAATTATAGTGCTCTGCATTAACAAGGATAGGAGTGAGTGGAGACGAAGGGATTTTGGGACTTGATGACTGTTGGAGTGTGACAGGGTAATATTTTATGAGGGGGGGTTCAGGGGAAATTGGTTAGTTGGATTTGAGTCCTGGGGGTAGGAAGTATAATGTCTGCACTTTAACCCTTTCAGGATCAGTCTTGTTATAGTACGGCTTTAAAGCCAGGGTTGGTTCCAGAATACTACGCCAAAATTTTAGTGGCTTCCAATCTTGCAGGAGAAATAGCTGGTAGGCCTACATATAAAAGAATGGGTCTGCGTGGTCAGTATGCACAGTATAAAAAAATCCTGCAGCACGCAGTGTATAATGAAAAAAAAAAAACTGACCCTGTTTTTGGTGTAAAGCAGCGACTTTGTTTGTGTATTTTCATATGGTTTTTTATGGTTGTATTCTTGGTTTCTTGGTCTTATTTGATAAAATGGAAGATATGTTATAGAAATAGAGATGATTTTGAATGGTTTACAGACTAAAAGTAGCTTGAAATTGAGCTCAAAGCAGTAAAAATGTTTGATTTTTGTCAATATTCAAGAATAAACAAATCATGTCACACGTCCAATACACATCGACTAGCTGATCTAATATGTACTCACAAATACACTGACATTATTTATACAATTATTACCATTATGCAGGCGTCTGAATAACAGTAAATCTTCTATTTTTTTGTGTGAATAAAAATTTAAAATGAAAAGCAAGTGTAATTAAGAGGGTCCTGGAGACATGACTAATGAACAGAGAAAATGTTATTTAGTGCCAGGAATGTCTGCATTATTTATTCTAGACCCTATTTTGAAATTGGCCTATCTTGAATTTTGTGTTAAATTGGACAAATTAGTAATTTCTGATACATTATTGGGTAGTTGATATAGGTAAATGGGCAGTTTCTTGTACTCAATCGATAGAATAAAAGGAGTTCTAGTTAAGCAGCTATGAGTTTGGTCAACTGAAACAATGAATTGGCCCAAAATAGGGCTCAAATTGGGCAAATTTGTCGGTGTAAATATTGCCGAAATCGCTAACTTCATGAGGGTGTAATTCTGTAAGTTTTCCATCAAATTCAACGAGCAAGTTTGTGAGCAAGGGTCTCGACACTCAAAGGGTTAAAGGAGGGGTTTTGCTGCTTAGAGTAACATCTAAACTGTTGTATCTGCACACACTACAAAGACCATGATAGTGTGAATGATGATGAAAGTGTTTTTTTTTTTTTTTTTTTGAGGTCATACTACCTTGTGGGAGATGGCCATTGTGTTAAAAAAAAAAGTGTTAAAAATTGGTAATATTGCTAAAGTGTGTAGAAATGTTAAAATAGGAAAACTATTTGGTGACATTCTGACCGTTTCAAGTTTTGGAATGGGATGAAAATGGGTATAACATCATACAAGGTATTGCAGTGTTTTCTCCCATTTTCATGTTTCATCATGTCTTGTAATTATGTTAGTTACTAAAAATTGTCTTCTAAATGGAATTACCTGAGAAAAAGGTTTCAGTGATAAATTGAGTAGTTTGGTTATAGCCAGTTTTTAATAAATACAGCAGTTTAAATCTTGTACAGTGGAACATAGTTTTTGTATGCCCTAGTGTGTTTATAAAACTATAGTTATTCTCGATAAAACGTATTTTTTGTTAATATTTTTGGGTGTCTGGAACAGATTAATTGGTTCCGTCCTCCAGACACCTAAAAATATTACAAAAAATCATTTTTATAGAGAATAGCCATAGTTTTACATACAAACTAGGGCATACGAACACCGAGGTTCCACTGTAATATGATCATTTTAACGTTGCATATTATGGATCCGTAGAAGTTTGTGTTCATGCCAGCTCTGTTTTCTTAGCTTGGCTTTGATATCAACCCAGCATTGACTTCTAGTGTAGGACATGGATGACACCTTGGATACAGAACCTTTAGAGTCAATGGATGAAGATACTGACAGCAAGGAGCCTCAGAGGTGAGAAATGTATCACACTTGTGTGTCTCTGAGGATTCATTAGTGAATTGTTATCCGGGTGATATGTTGTTCTGTATGTGAATAAGCATTGCTGTATGACTCTTATGGGTTTAGCACTTAGTTATGGTTATTATAATAATAATAATAATATGTATGAATAATGGGATGGGAAATAATTGTGTATTTTGTTTTACAGTAAATTTGAAGCAGTGCAAGATGACATGACCTCTGAAGAGATTCTGGAACAAGTTCAAAATGCTTCTTGTGAAGCGGCAGAAAAACTAACCCTCAAGAAACCAGTTAGTACAGTGAGTTCCATTATTATGGTGCTCAGAATTACTACAATACTAATTTTATCATTAGAAACTAACCCTGAATTATTGTTTGTTGCTCATTTGAATGCCTGAGAACTTCGGTGATTCTAGTTTTATGTGTATTCTTATAAGAATGTGAGATCTTTGAAGACAGGATGGTGTATTTTCGGGAAAAGATGAGAACACAATAACCCCACATAAAAGAGAGAAGCTTCGGGACGTTTCGTCCTACGGGACCATTGACAAAGTCACACTGTCGTCGTCGTAAGCTTCTCTTTTATGTGGGGTTATTTGTGTACGTTCCTTTAGTATTGTTTTTTTTGTTATTGTTAAGATGAGAAGTTTAGTTTACCCGTGTTCCTTTGCTTCTAAATGATCGTGTGGGAAAATAAATACTACACAAAACCCCTTTCAGCATTTTGCTAATGCAGCAGTTTTAGGGTTGCCCATTTTTCATTTATTCAATTTTCCCGCAAAAAATAATTCGCCATTTTTATAAACTAAGGGGGAAATATTTTAAGATAAGCAATTTTTACTGTATATTTAAGGCCTAGTTTGTTGTTATTTTAAAATATGATGTGTTAACATGTTATTTAAAAGTGAAAAAAAATGTTTCACTTTACGGATTTTTGCTTTACGCATAGCCTGGAACCTAACCTGCTGTTAACAGAGCCCATCTGTATATCTAGACAAAAGGGTTGCTCTTCCCTTTACTTAAGGTACTTCAATTTTAGGAAGAAAGATAATTTTGTGACTAAATTCTTTGCAGTGAAAGTGTAAATTACATGTATAATGATAATGCATCATCTAGTGTGTATTTACTCACTGTACACATTTTAATATTTAATTATGTTTGTATGGCTGAAAAGTGTATTTGGACTGTAATAGTTTCTTGACTCATTGCTATCTTGTTTTGATTGAGAACTTTTTTTACTTGGTGGGTGACCTTATACAGAATCTTTCCCAGTACTCAAACCAGCTGCTAAAGAATCATGTATGATGGTGTGGTTATCATGAAGGTAAAGTAGCAGTGTAGTGGTGGAGAACATACAATATGGTCTTGTTGGAATATCAGAGTGTAGGAATAATCTGTGAATTTGATCAAATATGAATTTTACATTTACTTTGTAACTTCAAAGGACTGAAGTGTTTTCTTTGTAAAGTAGGCAATGGATGAGTTGGTCACAGCCACCCATGTAAACACTGGCAGTTGTTGTCACATGCAGTGCTAATTGAAGGTCTGCTTTAGTTCCTCATCCACCTCTGTCATTACAGTAAATGCTGTTAACTAATTCTTACTTGTTTTCCCTTGCTTGTCTTCTTTTCACGTTCATCTGTGGCCTCTTATATGGGTTTGCAAACTTTTTTCTAGTGCAAGGATGGTGACTTTTCTAGTGCAAGGAAGTGATGACTAAATTTTATGATTAAACAAGCATGTAAAAAGTTATGTAATTGATACCTGCAAATAAGGACAACTGCAAATAGGGATAACTGTAATAATCAGAATTCTTGATTAATACGTGTTTGTTACTTTCCTCAGCTTGGGTTCTTACGTCAGCGAGGAGACGGCACCACCACCCTCAGTTTTCTGACTGGTTGTGAGGGTAATGATCCAAGCTTGAAAGAGAAGCCTGTCAGTCTTGGACTCCTCACTGGGAAGCTTACCCAAGGTTCAGCCATGCTCCACAACTTCCGAGATGACAAGAGAAGCATGGCCAAACCAAGTATGTAACACTAGCAAAGAATTTTCTACTCTGACTCTCAGCATGGTTGCTTGGGCAGGCAAATTTTGAGATTTATCAAATAATGGAAGTAGTTGTATTTAAGCTTAATCATCATCATCTTTGAACAAATTGGCTATTTCCTACCGAGGCAGGGCGGCCCAAAAAGAAAAACAAAAGTTTCTCTCTTTAATTTTAGTAGTGTGTACAGGAAAAGTGTTATTAGCCCCTTGCTCCCGGCATTTTGGTCGACTCTTACAACACGCACGGCTTTCAGAAGAAGAATTCTGTTCCACTTCCCCATGGAGATAAGAGGAAAGAAGAACAAGAACTAGTAAGAAAATAGAAGAAAACTCAGAGGGGTGTGTATATATATGCTTGTATATGCAAGTGTAGTGTAAGTAGAAGTAGCAAGACGTACCTGAAATCTTGCATGTTGAGGCAAAAAAGACACCAGAAATCCTACCATCA